GTGCGTTAATATTTTAGAATTAAAAGAACGTTTTCCATTACTGCTTATAAGTATTTAGACAGTAAATATAGGTAAGATGAATAGTCATGGACCAAAGTCCTTATCAGGGTCATCAAATAATTCAAATGAGTTTAAAATTCCGGCTTTCGGTTGCTGCCACTGCTAAATATATTTCGAACGAAAATGTTGAAAGGTTATGCAATAAGCACCAAATGTACTAATATAAAGTATTATATCGATATATTTGGTGATTATTACAACTGCGCCTATAATAAGCAGTTTTAATTCCGATAGTGTTAAAACCAGTGTCTTACACGCACTTGAAGGGGATATGAACCGGAGAAAATTACATCATGCGACAAATTTTGACTATCATAAGTTGGCCAAGTGAAGTGGCCACACAAAGTGATGCTGATGGAATAAACTACGAAAGTCGTGTTTTGTTTAATATAATAACGTAAATCCACCTAGAGGGACAAAAAATTATAAAAAATGAATGATGAAAATGAACTTATATTAGCAATATTAATTGAAGATTGTAATGGATAAACCAGATAAGTGACATTTTCAAAGAGGCTATAAACAGGTAAGAGGAAAAGAAAGTGGTCTCCGAACTATTTTATTACCTATTTATTAAAAGGCGAAATAATTCTTCGTTTTATTTTATTTCCCACAATCTAATATGATAATAAAATCAGGCATACATATTAAAAACTTATATGAATTAGTTACGTTAAGATTAAAGTGTAAGCAAAAACAACTTTGCTACATTAAATGTACGCAATAGTTATGCAACCATTTTCTGTGATTTTCACTGATTCGTAAATACCCCTAATATGTCACTTACCTGGTTCTTCCACTAAACTCTTCAATTGTGTCAGTATATGAATTTCTGCTCCGTGTATGATTTCGCACACTTGGTCAGTACAGATTAATTCCATTCTATTTTTATTCATCCTATACGAAGAACGGGTATTCAGCTAGTATATATAAATAATGAATCTCTATCTGTTTGTGTCCCTTATAGACTCCTAAACCATCCGACCAAAATCGATGAAATTTGTCAAACAGATAAATCGAATCACGAGGAAGGTCACTGTCTAAATTAAAACATTCTACGACAAACCGTTGGAACGGAATGAGCGAGAAACGAAATATTTTCTGATTGGTTAAGTAGCCATTATTTTAAATTTAACTATAAAGGATTCAACTTTAAACATATTTGAACGATAACATCAGTAGTGATTGCTAGCTTTAGCTCTATTTAGTCAAAAAATAGTTTGTGGGGAGTGTAGAATTCAAATATGCCAACCATCTTCTATCAAATACCTCAAGATTGAGTCAAGTTAGCATGTCTTACATAATAGTGGATTGATTTTTAATAATCGTAGTGGTAGTTACGCCACAANACCATATTTTTATGGACATTTAACTACTTTGATTGAATATGATAAAACAACAATTAAAGAGATTTTTATTTAACCATTTTTTCTAGAAATTACTAACAGTGCATAATGGTCAAAATGACCCCTAAAGAGACTTAATAGTATTACACGCCCTTTCCTCTTCTCCACCCCTTTCTTATATATATATATATATATATATATATATGAATAATGAATTTCTATCTGTTTATGTCTACTATAGACTCCTAAACCATCCGATCAAAATCGATGAAATTTGTCATACAGATAAATCGCATCACGAGGAAAGTCACTGTCGAAATTAGAACATTCTACGACAAACCGTTGGAACGGAATGAGCGAGAAACGAAATATTTTCTGATTAGTTTAGTAGCCATTATTATAAATTTAACTATAAAGGATTCAACTTTAAACATATTTCAACGATAACATCAGTAGTAATTGCTAGCCTTAGCTCTATTTAGTCAGAAAATAGTTTGTGGGGAGTGTAGAATTCAAATATGCCAACCATCTTCTATCAAATACCTCAAGATTGAGTCAAGTTAGCATGTCTTATATACTAGTGGATTGATTTTTAATAATCGTAGTGGTGGTTACGCCACAATATTCCCCACGAGAATTTTATCAGGGATAGAATTCGATGAACGGATACCACTAGTTGCTGTATTTGTGAAAGACCGGGAGACCTGGATTAAGGTCACTGGATTTTACGCTTTTAGCCATGAGAGCTGTATTAAGTTCATGGTTGTGTGTGTGATCTCTATTAGTATTAGCAGTCTAACGTGTGCAGGGTGCCGTTATCTATAAATGGGACTGAGAAGCAACAGCGCGAGGAGGACGATGACGCAGTCACAGGTATTATTCGTCTTGAAGAACCAAAAGAAATCGTCATACTATTATTGACGACAATGATGCTAAACTAATGCTGGTAATTTTCTCTTTCTTTATAACAGTTGTTGAACAATCGACCCAATTTTGAGTTTAAGACTCAATGTTCAACTCCGTAGCCTTGTAACTTAGAGCCCAATCCAGAAGACGAGGAACTTTTGGGTCAAATATTAGAAGAAATTGGCTTTCGTGAAGGACTTTTTGATGGAACTAATCCGCATTTGAGTTACTTGGCGAGGAAAACCTCCCATTGTTAGCCTGACGGGGAAGGGACTATAATACATGATCCGTTTGAATCTGAGGTTTTTTGACGTCGGGACTGTGGTCGATGTGAGCCGTGTGCATAATTCGTATCGACCAGCCCATAGCTAGTATTCAAACCCGGGTCACCTCATTGGGAGGCGAGAGCTCAATACCCTGAGCCACCACTGCTTAATATGTATTAATTGAAATAAAAAAAAGTAATTTATGTACTTGAAAGCAAAGTTAATGGAGAAAAGATATTTATTCGTTTTTGGGAACGGTAAAAATTCGGCATGTTATTATTGACACTAATGCTTAATTAATATTGATAATCTGTATTAATTGAATTAAAATAAAAAAGCTACCTGCTAAAAATCAAAGTTAATAGAGAAAAAGTGAATGGAAAATTCATTTAGGAAAACCATGGAAAATCGCCATTCACAGATCACGCTTAATTAATATGTACTACTGACTGTAATACGTACTAATGGTATTGTGGTAATTGGTGCAATTGGTATGGGTTGCTGAATTCTACAACAAATTTTTAATAGCCACGGAAAATAATTTTTTCCAGTGATAGCAAGGATAGTGAATTAATATTTTAAGGAATTAGAAATAAAAAGGAACTTTTTTCACCACTTCTTTCTGTTGTACGCCACCTGTAACCCGTTTCGATCGCTAATACGGTTATCCACCCATATATATAATTTAAGTATTTGCGACTCAGTTCGATTTTGAAGTTATTAAATTTTAAAATTTTATTTCTTGCCTGTTTTGCAGTTTTGTTCTATTTTATTTATTTTTAATTTTATTTTTTTGTTCTCCGCAAGATAATGTGGCCATTAACGATCGAAATGGGCTACAGGTGAAGTAGAGCAGAACTCTCTACCTATGGCGACACCTCGCATGCTTTCACCTGTAGCGTGTGGAGAGTCATAAGAGAAGGGAGTACATCAGTTTCTGTCTTGATTTTCAAATAGACTAAAAACTTTTAAGTTAGGAAACTGTATGAAACTGAAAACTACGTTGAATATAATTCTATAAGAAAGCATCGTGGAAATTTAAAAAAATGCTTCTGATAGTTAAACACGAAAAACATAAGAAAGGACAAAATTTCATAATACATTCCTATACTGAGTAGAGGTGGAGAGGGAAGTAGGACGGTTAAGACATGGAACCGGTTTTCTCCCCAGATGGCGCATTCAAGTGTTGCGATCATTTAAAAAAAAGATCTTTTGGATAATTTTTAATTAGAGTATTCAAGATCAATATTTATTTTGATTACTTTAGAAATACTTCCTCGTGTCCGACAGTGGACTGATCGTAAAAACACGGTTCCCAGCAGAACACCGAAGTTAAGCATCGCTGGCTGCTGTCAGTAAGCGGGTGGGTGACCACTTTGATTTGCCTGCGTAGGGACTCAGGGTGCACGGTATCGACCCTCGTTAAATTGTTCTACCGTAAAATGCTCGACTTCGAGCACAGGTCATCAGTCTATCAAAGCTGGGGAGCCATTCCCTCTGCAGAGAATCCAAATTGCAATGGCATGTCTTCGAATTATCCTCAAGGATGTTGTCCAGACCGTCGCCAATAACCAATTATGCAGCACTAGTGCGACGTAAATAAAGTACCCATCTACCTACCTGGAAATATTTTAAAATTTTTTAGCACCGAGCTATTAAATAAAACTTCTGGTAATAAAATAAACTTAATCAAAATAATAAAATTAATTTAGTTAGAATTTGCAAAATACTTCTTTATTAAAAATTGAACAATATTGGGAATAAAAATCGTAATGTGTAGTGGAGGGAAGGGGTTAACGGGAGTACTTGAGCTGTACCCCAGGGGTGTTTCCACCTATTTCTCATTTTCCCCTCAATTTCAGTTATTTTTTATCAATTATGAAATGTCTACATTTTTAAAAAAATATATCTTTAGAATTTAAAAGCAATAAAAATAAATTTAAATGTCCGTTTTCCCAACTGAAAAATTCTCCGGTTACAAATGTGGGCTGTTTGCTTGTGTGTAAATTTTCTTATGATTCGCAACTTAGAATATCGCAACGTTATATTTGAATGCAAAGTGTGATACGAACCTATAAACTAGCCACTTATCACAACTTGTTAAAAAAATAGAACAAATTTTAATTGGCTCCAAATTCCCATTAATTAATAGGCACCAATCAACTTTTAGGCATTCCATTTTCTCAAAAATGATTGGTTAACTTCTAAATGACGTCACTATGACAGGTAAGGTCATTGATTTCGGAAGTTTTTATTTTCAGCTTTGCCGCAAAAAAATATCTTAGATTTTTTTACGCTTTCCAATATAGTTGTTTTATTTTTCGTGTATCTTTTGAGCTTTTTATTTTTGTTTGTTATTTTTGCATTTTAGTTTTGAAATAAATTTATGTTCGCTTTAATGGAAACACTAAATCTAATCTTCTGATTGGTCCAATCCCTGGCAATATCGAGATGACGGTTTGTCGGGGTTGTGGTGTGTCCTGATGGTGATCGAGAAATAATAGACTAACTGAATTTACATTCAATAAAAATATTAAGTTCTTACAATTTAAATTTTATTGTTATGTGTATATGTCATCACTGAAGTGTTGTGTATATTCCTGTACATATGGATGTCATTTGATACCACAATATTAGGCCTAGCATTGAAATCGCAACTCAAGTATTATGAAAATTTTCACTCGCGTTTTATGAATATCGTCTTATTTACGTTTAACAGATATGGTGATCTAAAAAAAATAGTGTGCAAATGTGGATTCATGTTAAGTTCTTGTGTTCAACCCTCATTTGGAAACAACATAAAATTAAAACATAATCGATATTAGCGGTTAAAATGCTTATAAGTTGTTCGGCATTAGATCGTTATATTAACTCCGAAAGTAACCCTTTGATTACAAGATCGTTTTCGTAGGCATGTCTTCCATGGATTCATTATATCCATATTTGTGATGTTTAGGAAACTGTGTTGTCATATATTGCCGAAAATAGCGAGATAAAACAGTTGTAAATCGGAGTCTCATATTATTTCCCTTAGTCATGACTTCTGCTCACCCGGGAGCCAATTTGACTGCTACTCCTTTTGTAGACAAAATTGATCCTTTTAAAAAGGGATCATTAAAACGTAAACCAAAGAAATCTCAAGGATCCTCTAGGTATAGGTCTACAAATGATGTAGAGCTCCAAGCTTTGCCCCTGCTGAAGGGTAAGTGATTATGATACATCAAGATTTTACCTATATTACCAAATTTGTACCTATATCCATGATATACATAGTTGCCAACTCTACTTGATTTCGCTAGTTTCTCCTGGTCAACTAATTTAATAAAAATTCTGGTTTTTGTACATTATTAAAAAATTCCCTAAAATAGAGTTTCTTTAAAAAAAATCTGTATTGAAATAGAATTTTTGCACAGATTATTGCTTGAATACTGAAATAAGTATCATTTATAGAAATCAGTTAAAAACTTATTTTGTTCAGTTTATTTTTATTCGGAACACCCTTTATAAATAAATTTATATAATCTTAAATATTTTGTATGAATTAAATGCCTATTAGTATTCAAAATTATGAGTAAATATAATACACAACATTTCAAACATATTTAATATCAATCATGACTGGAAAATATTGCAGTTTTTCTTCTTTGATGACTATAAAAATCCTTAAAATTTCTTATGTGAGAAATATTTGGTAGGACATCATTATACAACATTTATCATGGAACTTACCTTTCGTAAAATTTACTGTATTTTTTCCTATCTATGTTGGCAGCTATGGATATATATTTAAACCATGGTTTACTAATACATATTATTACTAACCTTTTCAAAAAATAAATAAATGGGTAAGATATTATAAATATCATTTCAAATTATGTAATTTTTTTTCTTAAAGAAATTACATTCTTTTTTTTTCCTTATGAGTTTATGTTAACATTAGTATTTTCGAAAGTTAATACATATGCATGTGATTTATGACATTTCTTATTTACATCAAGGGTTTAATTTAAATTGTTGTACCCATATGACGAAATTTAATTATACCCATGTTCATAATATAAATTTAAACCACGCCAACTACAATCGCCAAGGTGCCAAATAGATTTTAACTTGCGAATTTAAAAAAAAAAAAAAACATGTAGATGTTTGCCTGGGGGTGGCTACGAGTTATACCTTTCGAGTTGGTTCCTTTCTGTGATTTTTTTTTATTTTTTAGTTTCTCTCGGGCCTCTGCCCAGAAGCTTCCAAGACTTGGTGATTATTCTGCTACAGATCACGATACAGAAATTTCCCCATTATATTTGAAACCTGTTTTGTTATTAACATAAATATCAAAAAATTAGGTGTGCTAGTCAGGTATTTTTAAGTATGACTATTAAGATTGCAATTTTTTTTTTTAAAAAAAGGAAAATTAATACATATTTGATGGTATCTATATTTCAAACATGGTTTATTGGTAACATAAATAGTATCAGTAGATTCTCTGTGTAAGTCATTTTTATGTAGGTAATTTTTTATACTTCATTGTTTACATCAAATCAAAATTATTGGGGATATTTCCGTATTGTGATCTGGCTTGCCAGCTGCAATCGCCAAGGTGCCAAATATATTTTAAACTTGCAAATTTTTTAAAAAAAACATGTAGTTGTTTGCCCAGGGGTGGCTATTTATACTTTTCGACTTGGTCCCCTTCTGTTATGTTTATTATTGTTCCTCGCGGGCTGCTGCCTGAAAGTTCCCAAGACTTGGTGATTATCCAGCCTCAGATCATGATATGGAAATCTCCCCGAACTATTCACCCCACACCCCTAGTTAAAGTGCTTTACCCTCATAACCATAGCACCCACCACCATTGGAGAAGTATGTATGTCTGGAGAAGTTCTCCTGTAAGCTACTCAATATTTATTTTAATAACTATTTTAAAAGATAATTATCCTATTTCATTAAGAAAAGCTGATTAACCAATGCCTTCAAAGGTTATCAATATTTATAATTGTTATACTATTTTAATTGCTCACATAACGTAACCAATGACAAAAATATCAATTTTAATTATAAAAATCAGCTTAATTGAATTGTCAATATAAAATATGGAATTACAAAATCACGAAGAAACAGACTTTATTTTCAAGAATTCACAAGTTTTTGTGAGACAGACCGTATTTTCATGACACCTTAAAATCAAGATCTTTCACAAAAAGTCTGAGGTAACCAGGGTTGGCAAGTTTCTGACAGTTGACGGTATTATCCGTGTCAAAAAATCCTTTTTTACTAATGTCAAGAACCCTAAATTTTAGTGTATAATTTTTAGCTATAATAAATAGGAAGTATTTATTAATAAGCGTATATATAAAATTACAAGTGATCAATCTATTATAATCTTGAACAGGGGTCTGTCCAGGCCGAATTTACTACCGTTTAGCGGTACCTTCACAAATTCAACTTTAGGAAAAATGGTAGTTTCACAAATTCAATTTTAGGAAAAATGGTAGTTTCACAAATTANCTGAAATAACCAGGGTTGGCAAGTTTCTGACAGTTGACGGTATTATCTGTGTCAAAAAATCCTTTTTGACTAATGTCAAAAACCCTAAATTTTAGTGTAAGTATAATTTTTAGCTATAATAAATAGGAAGTATTTATTAATAAGCGTATATATAAAATTACAAGTGATCAATCTATTATAATCTTGAACAGGGGTCTGTCCAGGCCGAATTTACTACCGTTTAGCGGTACCTTCACAAATTCAACTTTAGGAAAAATGGTAGTTTCACAAATTCAATTTTAGGAAAAATGGTAGTTTCACAAATTCAATTTTAGGAAAAATAGTAGTTACACAAAATACTTTTTCTTGAAATTTTATTTTTGTACCCCTTAAAAACGATAAATCCATATTTTTACCATATTTTTGTGTTGATTTTTAAATATAATTTTTACTTTTTCACAAATTATGTCTAAATTTTCACAAAATAGGTACCTCTCAGAAAAATCTAGACAGACCGCTGTTGAATTATTTTGATATTAAACTATCTTTTTTTGTGTTTTGACAGTTACTGTCAAAAATCCAAATTTTGGTGTAGAAAATATTTAACTCTTATAAATAAAAATAGGTAAAATTGAAATTTATCTAGTCCGTTGGTATGTTACATTATAGAAAATAAAATTACAAAAACAATCAGCTTAATAAAAAAGAACTCAGCAATCATCTTGTTCATTATTTATCAGATTAACGTTCCTTTCCTCCTATTTTAAGTCCTCCTTTCCCTAATGCATGCAATTACAGAAAACAAAAAAAAAAAAGAAAAGTTTTGAAGCCTCTGTACTCTTAGTTCGATTTTCTATGAATAAGACCAAAACTCGAAACCGTTTCTTCGATTGGTGCAGAGCTGCATTGTCTAGAAAGTAGACGTACTAAAACTATTATAAAGTAGCATGTAACTAGGAAATTTGTTCTAATAAACGTACTAAATATTTATAATAATTTAAATAAATCCTTGAATTGATTGATTGAAAAAAATTATGAACTCATTTACACAACTACAAATACTTTTTCTATAAATTATAATTAGTTCACTGATATTGGACATATTCATATACTTACAATCGAGAGTGGTGAAAAATTCTAATAGTCTAATATTCCTTTTGAACAAAACTTATTTATAACACAAAATTTTCCCAAAGATTTTTAAAAAAAATTCAGTACAATAACTTTTTAAAAATATATTTCTAAAATAAAGTTAATGTAAGAAAACAATTCATTTGATTTTATCCAATTCTTGAAAAAATGAGCATATGTGTTATAAAATAAGAGATCAAAATATATTGAAATACAGTCAAACCCTGCTATAGTGAACATGGTTTATAGTGAACTCCCGGATATAGTGAACGAAATGTTCGGTCCAGTGCCTTGCTATACGTGGATAATGTTATTTTTTGTGGATGTAGTGAACCAAAAAAGTTAGGAAGTTGAATATAATGAACTTTTTTCTGCCTTTAACTGATTTTTTTTTGTAATAATTTTGAAATTTCTACTTAAAAAAAAAATACATATACCGATTTTCAAAACCATCTATAGAGGGGAATGTAGCGATAAGCATTTTTTCTTGTTTGCTTCTTTTATCTCACTTTCCCATTCCTAAACAAACAAAGCAGATGTTCCAACCCAGGGAGACGATGCCCCTGTAAGGTGTCAGTCAGATCAATATGCATTTTATTTCAGAGGGAATGAAAAATTATTCATTATTGGTCAAAGGGTTGGACACTAATATGTGTTCATAAGGCCCTCATTTCAACTCCTTTTTGCTCTCAGTTCAGAAAATCCTGCAAACAAGTGTCTCAAATTTAACTATGGCGAGCAGTAAACGTAAAACGTTCTCCATTGATGATAAAATGGGCATAATCAGAAAAATTGAAAATGATGCAATCAAGCTGATATTTGCAGGGAATATAAACTATCCAAATCTGTAGTTTGTAACATATGGAAAAATAGGCAATTAATAATTTCTGCTCATGAAAAATATTTAGATGGCTGAAAAAAAGTTGAGAAAAGCAGATCACAAGGATGTTCAAGAAGCATTACTGAAATGGTTCACCAATCTAAGTATCTAAACAAATGTCGATGAATTTGCTAAGAGATTTTATGAGACTACTTTTATGTGCTCAAATGACAGGTTACACAGGTTTAAAAGGCGGAATAACAGAAATTCAGGAAAAATTATCTGAGAGTCGGGAAGTTTTTCCATATCTGATGTTGAGGATTGCTCATCAGCTAAAGATTAAAATTTTTTTTTTGTTCGCAAGACAAAGAGTAATGGAAAATAACACATTTTTTGCTACTACATAATATTTTTCAGTCATTTATTTGAATAATGTGTAATAAAAGGGAGGAGTTTGGAGACCATTAGTTAAATTGCCTGCGTAACGGATATAGTGAACTCCCGGTTACAGTGAACAGAAATTTCGGTCCCTTGAAGGTGCACTATAGCGTGGTTTGACTGTAGTAATAATTTATTAAATTAAATTTTAAGATCCCACTTATTAACTTAAGGAATTCAAACTAATAAATATACAAATTGACACATGTTTTTTTTTAACAAGAAGTATTGCAAAGCGAGACTTTTTTAATAAAAAATTTTATAGTAAATTTTTTTAGACCAAAAATTTCCCCATTGCTGCTTCCCTTTTCCTCAAAGCCTTGTTCGTG